GTGGGTGCTCTGCATTTCAACATTCTGACTAGTTCTAATAAGTTTATATTATAATGAACATAGTGCTTGTGATAGTGAAGCCTTTATTCCACAAGAAGTAGTTCACTACACACAAAAAATGTTCAGATTAGCTGCGGAGACTTTTTAAGCATAAACTAGGCTTTGCTTCGTTGGAGTATACTAACTTAACATGCTGCTCACATGATGGGGAAACCAATTTTGTGGCATAAATGCACGAGACATAGTGAAGCAGAGAGATAAGTCGAGAAAGAGACAATGTACGACAAGGTTGACGTACAGGTGGGGAAATGAACAATAAAAAATGTCGTGAAGAAAACAGTGCAACACCAGAAGGGAGCCAGCACCTAAGCCACAGTAGGTGTCTATCGCTTCATTAACAGTGTTTCATATTTTCAAATGCCCTGATGAACAAAGCATATTGGTGCTGAAATGAAGTTTGGTGAATCTACACTGCTGCCTAAGCACAAAGAAGCAGCTCATAGACAAATTCCTAGACTTTTAGGCTTCGAATATGTTCTTTTTTATTTCAATGGTTTTATTGTTATTTAATTTGGAAACATACATGTACAAAGGATACAGAGAAAAAAGGGAGGAATTTTGAAGAGTTGCATGCACCCTGAACACACAAGGTGTGTTCAAATATAAAGGGGTGCTCAAACGTTCCCAGGCTGCTACGCTTGTAATCTTATGACAGCACTGCCTGGGAACATTTGACCAACCCAGTGCACATTAAACCTTGTACTGTACAACAGCGCACACTTTCTCTTCTTTTTTTTATAATACAAAATGTTTACACCCAGAGACAGGGCTAAAGCTGGGCTTAAACAATGAGAATTGTCAATACTCACAATCATGAAGTTTATTAGTAATTCAAGAGGCACTCGACAGTATACAGCATGAATTTGCACAAATTAGCAATAGCTAAATCAATTGAAAATGGCATTTCTCACTTCCTCTAAAAACAACTGTTTCACTGCACAATCCACAAACATCTACACCTGCAGTTCACTGACATGTGGAGGTTCTTTTTAACAGCCCATTCATTAACAGCTTGACATGCAATGACAATGCGGTGTACACATCTGAGGTTTCTACTCATATCATTGTAATTTAGAAGGTGGCTTGAGCAGTGAATTATTAATAAAGCCACAACACACAAGGAACAAAAAAAACTAATTTTACAGATGTGAAGTGTTTCTGACAAAAAGTACAAAAAGTAGGTATAAGAAGGTATTGGTGCGATTTTTATATGATGAGACCTTTTTATAGAATGATGAAACTAATTCAATGTTGCTCTTAAGCGTCCCTTTAACAACCACCAGAGAGCATTTTCAAAGAAATTCTCTGAAAAAAACACTTTCTATTGACCTCTACATAGTTGCAAGGGACAACACTGGCAGACAGCTCCACTAGCTGTTGGGAATTCGCATCCTCTGATTTCATTATGTGCTCAGTGCCAAATGCACGACGTGACAAGAATTGTTTGACAGTGCAAAAATCCTTACATTTCCTGACGAATCCCTAATAGAAACAATGTGCTTCAACTTCAAGCACGTTCCCAAATATATTTGCAATACAGTGCTGTCACTTTTGTTCGGCCTTGAGTACTGCTCACTGTGAAACCGAACACCCGGTGATACAATCACTCGGTCATGTTCCATGACACGGCCCCTAACGATGTTGCCAACATGGTCCTGCACAAGGTGAAGCAGCTGGTCAGACACAGCTCGGGGTTTGCTGAGCAGTAAACCACCTTTACTATTTGATGGGCCAGCTTTTGTCAAAAACTTCAGAGTGCAAGGGCTAGCTGAAGCCTTTAGATACCTGAAGTTGCTGGCCATCATTAAGCGCTCTACAATCTGCAGTGGGGCACCTTTTGCTGATGTGACCAGCTGCTTAATTTGGCCAATGTTAGACTCAAAAGCAAAACATGAATGTGCCCAAAGAGGTCCTTGGTTCAGAACACTCTGAGCCATGTGCAACAATTGATGTACATTGAAAGTCATGTTTTTTTCTCCATAGAGAAACTGCATGTCGACAACAAACTTTACCAAGCAGTCTGTGCTTACAGAAATGTCACTGAGGGACACTGTGTCCTGCAGAAGAAGGGCAATACCTTTCACAAGCAATGCAAAATGTTTAAGATACTGCCGTGGAAGTAGGCCTTCCAGACAAGGCAATGAAAAATACAGTAGCCATTGCTGCCACTCCGAGGCTTTCCAATACTTTCTCAGAGAAACTGAGCGGGGAAGTCGTGGCATACAGCTATGCGGCTTTATAGAGCACAAACGTTGATCTAATACTGCCACAGTTTGTGGTGCCCCAATGTAATATTCCTCGCCTACATTAGAGAGCCAGTCCTCCGTCATCTGCCGTGCCACACCTAGAAGCACACAATGCATATAATCTGGAGTAAAGCCCCAGATTATATTAAAGTGCTGAAGATTAATCAAGGCGTGATGCCTTTTGCTCCCTGTACTGGTCTTCCAGCTTCAGCAGCCTTGGCCATGATTTCCTTTGTGCCTTCTGCTGTCCTGTCAGGTGAAACAGTGTCCACAGGATACTTGACAGTTCCTGTTTGGCAATAGTAAGAAAAAAAAACAGAGAACCTCACAAATTTAGAAGTTTGTAAAATCTCGCACAGCTAAGCTTGATTGTAAATGGCACACTTGTTTTCAGTGATATTTCTGAGAATTTACTTCTAGAACACATTTAGAAAAACATACTATGTGCCAGAATTTGGAAACATAGAATCGCTACGACATAAAGCACATTTTTGCCTCTGAGATGAGAAATGGCAACCCCAGATACATTAAACAAGGTGAATGTTTACATAAAAATTGCTAAAAAAGAGAGAAACTCTGATCAACATATCTAGTCAGAAATCTGACTCCATGTTATGCAGTAATGCGACATCTTTACTAACCATTCACAGCTGCCCCTGGATGCAAGCACCATCCACAGCCATAATACCCATTAAACTGGGTTAGGTGCTGCATGGCTGCCCGTGCTGGTGCATCAGCGCTGCAGCTGAAGCAGTACACCTGCATGAGCAAGGACAAAAAAGGAAGCTGTTAGCCCTAACTACCCTCTGCAATGAAGTACAACAAAAAGGAAATGGATAGAGGGCTTGTTTTCTTTGCCAGACACAAGTCAATTATTGCAGTAGACATTGAGGACAAGGAAAAGATCGGGTGATGTTATTAACAGTTTTCAATTGATAACAATCCATTCAGAAGAAGCACTTTTCATGCTTTTGCATAAAGGGACATGATCTCCGTAAGTTGTAACAGTTACAGTAAACACAATGCAGTAAATACCACTTTGACACTTAGATAATTGACAGTATTTAGAGATAAAGTCGCACTAGAAAAGAATACACACAAAGATGAACTAGTGTGCCATCCTCCATGGTGTCATTATGCCCAAGTGGCCTGGATTTCATCATGACTGGAAGAAATTAGCTGGCACAACAATGTAGCCTCGTCTATGCATTGTAGCTCAGTGCAGCATTTACAACTAGAATGTCTTGAAGTCGTGTTGTTCAAGCAGCTTTAATAATTAAAAAAAATTACCTTGGAATGCACAGTTTCGTTGCCTGCCTTCCATGTGATCCCACTGGTCGACAAACCGTCCATTTGTTCAACAAATGCGTTCAGTAGGAGAGTCATGTCGGGATGTTTCTGGCCATACCACAGAGCAGACACAAGCACATTTTTCTGCCTCATGTACACTGGGAGTTCATTCACCATCACTTGAACGGGCCACACAGAAAACTTCGATGACTTGAACACGGCGCTTCCATCACTGTTAACAGTGAGAGTGATATCATTTTTTGATGTCAATTCGCGCCTAAGTGCCCTGTATAAGGTGCCATCTATTATGTCTGTCATTTCATCTTTGTCGACAGACATACTCTCGTTTATTGAATTCAGTCTTTCGTGGAGTGCAGTGCTCGCATCATTCTCGGCAAGTAACGAAGACAGCAACTTTGCGATGGGCAGGGTTATGAAAAAGTGGCCATCGCGTAGCATCTGCGGCCCACTGTTACGTTGCCCGCATACGGTGCACGTTACCCGCACTGCATTCCGCGCTGCAAGGTCGCCACTTGTTACGGCAAGGAGCGTCATACAGTTTTCACAGTAGAAGTGTAACCGGGCGGCTTTTATTTCTGCCCCGACACTCTTCTTGAAAAGATATTTAGTAACTGGTATATCATGTCGTTCAAGTATGTGCATTATCAACTTTTGGAGTGCTTCGACTCCCTTCCAAGGGATGCCAAATTCGAGGACAAAATTGACAGTCAGTGCCAGCAAATCGTCACTAGAGAAGCTCCCTAAATCTCCCTGTGGCTCGTCTGTCATTTCTGCGCCAACGGAAGGCTGCGGCTCGTCACTTGGGGCTGCTTCATGTGCCGATTCAGAGTCACAGTCGCCTTCAACATCAGTCTGCGGAGGTTGCGTCAGTACGCGAAGTGCTGTCGGAGCAGTCGACCCGCCAGCGACATTTGTGTCCTGCTGCAGTCCACGACGTGATTGTTGCACGCTCGAGGCTGATCTTTCGAGATATGTTTTCGTTGAATACGGGATGGCGGAGGCGCTGCCTGGGTTTAGGTATTCCTTTCTACGAGGCATACTCCCTCAGTGCGGATCCACGCAAATATCGCACTGCAAACTCACCGAAAACCTTCTAAGTAATGAAGCCACACGTTGTGTTCACGCGCACAATCACGACAGTTCGCTCATAGTTCGCTCGGACTCGCACATTCTCCATGATCTCACACAATCAAACGACTTGGATTGGCTTGTACGGCGTTGAATTAGTTGGATTGCAACCCGGATTTCAAAAACACATATCTATTTAATTATATCTTAGTAAGTTTATACATTGTTTATAACATGAACAGTTTTTACACCTGTTTATAAGCTTATTTTAAAGCATTTTTTATTTGTTTATAGGTGTATTTATTTATTTATTTTGTTCCGCACGCAGTTATTGGTATTGCCCAGTCTTGCCGCTAGGAGTTGTTATGGTGTTATTTTTAATGGACACGACACGTGCGCGACACGCGACTGCTACATTTTTTTCAGAGATTGGTGTGTGTGTGATGCCATTTAAGGCTTTGTTAAATCATCAGTACTACCATGTACGCTGTTGTTCGTTTCCTGGACGATCACGACAAACGGTTACACGTCATTCACGTGCATGACATCGAGAAGTTTGATCCCAAAGACACCAGCGACTACGACAACCGCTTTGTTTACAGCGCGTACTGGCGAGACCCCGTGGATGACACAAACACTGGTTTGTACAACACGCAAGTCTTGATGCTGGCAGGTATGTGTGGTATGTGAAATGTTACGGTTCCAATTTTATAGTCGTAATTTCTTACAGAAAGCGAAGATGACGCCCGCGCGAAAATGCGGGCCAAGAGGTTGGTGATACCAAAAATACCTATGCAAGAAACGACGTCAGATGATGATCCTGATGAGCTCGTGGAGTCCCAAACAAAAAGAAAAAAGGCTGAAAGAAAGGTTGCTATTTATGCTGCCTACATTTTGAAACGGCTGAAAACTTGCTGGTCTTGCATTGATCATCATCTGTAATTGTGCTTTCGACTTCTTTCAGAAACAAAAGAACGACAGAGCAAATGCTAAAAAAAACATGTATGACGAAATTCTTAAAAAGAATCTGGAAAAAGCGCACTCTGGGCGTAAACCTAGAGCACAGGTAAGTGTGCCATGGTCTTCATTAGTGCACTGTACTATAAAAGAAGCATTTTTTTTTACTGAAAGCAAAACCCTCATGAGACCCTTGAAGGCTACAGCTAGGGCACAATAAATAGACAGGGACAACAGAAGAAAGCACAAAGTGAAGCGCCGATACTTGTGTTGCTTCTGTTGTTCCTGTCTATTGTGCACAGTAGCCTTCAAGATGCAATACCAACTAGCCCACCAAGCCATCCTAGTGAATTCATGAAGTCATTTTTTGCATGATGAAATTTCAGCCAAGGAAAGGGACAGACACTCCGTCGGACAGCGGGTCCTCCGATAGTGATGAATTGTGCCCAAAAAGTGAAATTCTTCAAATGAAGAAGAAGAAAGACGTGTGGAAGGCGAGAACGAAGGCGCTGGTGGTTAAAGAGCTTGAGAAGGACAGAGACATGTGGAAATTGCGTGCTGAGGAGCTGCAGCACGACAACCAGTTTCTAAAGCAGCAGGTTGCAAGCCTGCAGAGATCCCTTGAAAGCAAGCTTTTCAAGCGTAAGAATGCTTTTTGCTCTGCATTATTTACTTGACAAAAGCTCCATGTATAATGATTACATGACAACTCATGTGCTACATAAAAACTTGTGCACCCTTTTTTTGTGTACATGCAGTTGCAGTAGAACAAGACCGGGTGCCTTGCAGTCGGGGCATGTTGTCAGGTTTGTTTCCCCATAAGAACTGCATACACCTATGCTCTTGAGTAAATGCATCAGTTCCATATTTCACTGGGACAGTAATATAGCATACTTTGACCTGTTTAATGAAGTCAGCTTTTTTATTATTTATTTATTCATATTTTGTCTAAGCAACTCGCTCAGTAGTATGTGCAAAGTAAAGGTTATAGAGATTTGGCTTTACTTGATGAACTTGCCGAACGAGTTCAAAGAGTGCTGCACTTTTTATTTGTTTTGAAAAAGTGCCCGCCAAACACAGCATGAATTAACTTTGGAGTGTAAGTTCAGCTGTTCTGCAGTAAGATGGCAGCTTCAGTCAGTATGTAATATAGAAGATGCTAGTGCCATGATAATGAAATGATGTTGGTTCTTTGAAAGTGGAGGTGGATAGATGAAAGTAAAGTTTGAACTGTAAAACAGAGTAGCCAATCGAGAAAACCTCGAACGAACAAAATTTTTCCTTGGTATGGTTTATCGCTATGTTACATTGTGATTTTTGGTTTGAAAGTCCGAAGTGAATTGACTTGGAGATGTGCACCTCATCGTAGCTTTTAGAAGCAGCCAATGCTCTAAGGCACGCTCTGACTAGCATGAAGCTTTAAACAAACGCATCCAGATTTAACAGGCTTGAGGGGTTGAAATCTAAACTTTTACACCTGAATCATTTTTATTACAGCACATTCTGAGACAGATGAAGGAGAAAGCTTCGTCGGAAGTGAGTACTTTGCTTCTTTTATAATACTTCCCTGCATTTCAAAACTGGAGTGACAGTTACTGTCACTATATCTTTGTAACTTAGATCTGTGATTATGGACAACATGGCCTGCAGTGAACGTGTTCTCCGTAAGTACAGCTCTGGTTTCATAGACAGTAAACTTGTTTCAATTAGAGCAAGTTGTGCACCAAGATAAGCCATTTTTGAATAATTCTAAATGTTGCGTAGCACCGTGCTCATCTACTGCTGTAGAACCAGAGGAAAGGACAAGCACTGTTGGTGGAGAAAAGAACACTACACATCCAGGTCAGCTCAGATGTCACCTCAGATATTCTGACAATAATTTTTTTTTTTTTGTGCCATGACAAGGACCTGATATCTTTCTTGCAGGCCCAAATGGAGATTTCATTTATATGGAAGATGGCTCTGTAAGTAATTTGCTCGAAATTTAATGTCACTGTCTGCAGCTGCTTTTCATGCTTAACCGTTTTTTTTTCTATGGTAGTCACAGCTACTCTATAGATCTAGGTGGTATAGTTAATTACGAAAGCTTTCTTAAAGCTTCTTGCTTGCAGCATGTTTACCATTTTTATTTTTTTAGCATGCTCAAGTCTTCAGTTTTACTCAGTGTACTTTTTGAGAGAAGTATGAATACCGTTGGGACCAGCACACAGTTTTTCTTTTTTATTATCAGCAATAGCAAGGTGTACAGTGCTGATCACACCTGTCTTGAGCACCTGAGCAGTGCTGTGTGGATGAAATATGGCAAAATTCTAAAGCAGATACTCAATTTCACTGATACTTCTGCATTCATGTGCAGTTGAATATACTAGATGAACCGCACAGGCTCAAAAGCATTGTCTCTAACAGAGTAACCAATAACATTTTACTGCATTTGATTTGCAGCACACCACTTGTGCACCATAGACAAGTGTGATAGACTGTACATACTATTCATGTGCTACATCGTTGTGTTGTGCCAGGTGCATTGGTTAAACAATTTGTTAGTTTTGTTGTATGTTTAGCAGAAGTAACATGCAGCATTTTTTGTTTCATTGCTCCTTACAGTAGGGATTTTCCTCCATTATTTTGCTTTTTCACAGTTCCATTTGACGAAAGGCGTAACAATAAGTGGTGTGTGTGCAAAAAAATATTTGGGAACAAGAAGGCTACCTTGGTGGTGAAGGATGCTGCCCACGCTATATGGGGAAGCAACGTTCTTGCATCTAGGAGCGTCACAGGGACCGTTGGCTCCAGGAAGAGAGCATTGGGGGAGCAGCCCAAGCAGCCGCTGACACCGGAGAAACTTCTTGTTGTGTCAGGTACAACTAGCATGAATAGTTTTCCACAGCGCATGCAGGAAGTCATCTTTACACAGCCTGGCAGCATGAACGAAAATGAAAGAGTGAAATTCATGCTGTTTGCTTTGCGAGTTGTCAAAACAAAATTTTGGTATATAGGGTGAACAGAAGTTGCACTTTGTACTGGAAATATGGAAAGATATCTCTGAGTTTGGGTTAAATTTGATGGGGTGCATGGTAGGCTCCTATGCTCAACTGACAATCTGTTGCACATGAAACTGTGCACCAAATTTAACTGCCATCAGCTGCCGAACAGGACAACTTGGGTTTTGTGGAGCTTGTGAAACTAAGTCATGCACATTCCTAATCCAGTGATGTCGGAGCTTTAGTGCTCAAACCCAAGCTCTGCCTCTATGGTGTGGCAGTTGTCGTTGCCGCAATCACTACTTTTTGTTGTCTAATGCTCAAAATCGACTCGTCTGTTTGTAGAAACACTCAAGCACTGGGGACAGCAGAAAGACGTCAACACTGCTGACACGGAAAAAAATCTGCCCAGGATCCTGGCTGAGAAGATCCAAGATCTCCTGAAATCGAAAGTGCGCAAGCAGATGTTTGACGATCAAGCACAATAAATTCTTAAACACTAAGGCTGTTTGTTTAACGCCCAATGCATGCTGTTAACTTGGCACAGGAATGTAGAACGTGCAAGTTACAATAAGCACTGACTTACTAATCGAATGGCACAACCATCTGGATAGCCATAAAAGTTATGTGCTTGTAACCCTAAAGTTGCTAAATTGGGCAGAAACATGCATTTGAGTTCGTTTGGGCACCACCTTGTTGATTGGGGGCGTCCTCCATCTCGGTGAGTAACAATTTTGTTGCATGTATGCAACCCTGAGCTGAAACCAGTAGCTGCTGGTTTCGGATACTGGTTTCAGTGACTGGTTCCATCAGCTACTGGTTCCATTACCTACTGGTTCCAATACCTACTGGTCCCATCACCTACTGGTCCCATCACCTACTGGTCCCATCAACTACGGGGAATGTGCTAATAAACCATCAATACTGGAACCAACAGAAAACCAACAGGAAATTTTCACCTGGGATGCCACCATCCGGTGGTGTAGCAGTTATAGTTAGTCAATGTATAGCATGCACACAATTACCCCTTCAAACTTCCCTCGAGGCGGTAGCTGTCCGAGCAGTTATTCTAAACAAGCTTGTCACTGTCTGCTCTTTGTACATACCTCCGCACTACCGTCTTGAAAAACTTCAATTCCAGTCTTTAATAGAAGAACTACCTGAACCTTATCTGGTCCTTGGGGACCTGAACGCACATAATTGTCTGTGGGGTGACTCTCGCTGTGATGCACGAGGTCGTCTCATTGAACACTTCCTCATTTCATCAGGTGCTTGTCTGTTGAATAGGAAAGAGGCAACATACTATAACCTTGCCAACAAAACTTACTCTTCCATAGACCTCAGTATCGCATCTCCTTCACTTGCACCATTACTTCAGTGGAAAGTCATAAATAACCCATACAGAAGTGACCATTTTCCTTTAGTTTTGAGTACACCAATAATATATGAATGTCCTCCATATGTTCTCAAATGGCTAGTAAAGAAAGCGGACTGGGAACAATTTCAAAAGATTACTCACTCAAGTTGGACTGACATATGCGGATTAGGCATAGATGAAGCTGTGCAGTACTTCACGGCTTTTCTTACTGACGCAGCAACGAAGTGCATTCCACAAACATCTGGACTGCCCGGCAAACCACACGTCCCGTGGTGGAACACTGAATGTCAGAATGCGCGAAAGGAACAGAACAGGGCATGGAGGCTCCTGCGGAACTCGCCGACAGCAAAAAACCTTGAGAGCTTTAAGAAAATAAAATCTCGAGGCAGAAGAACGCGTCGGCAGGCCAGAAGAGAAAGCTGGCACAAGTTTTTAACAGGGATAAATTCATATACACAAGAGGCTAAAGTCTGGAACATGGTTCGTAGGGTAGTAGGAAGACAAGTACACTCACTCCCACTCGTAAACACACAGGGTGACAGCCTGGAAGATCAGGCGAACTTCCTCGGCGCACACTACAAGCAAGTGTCTAGCTCGTCACACTATACTGAAGCTTTCCAAAGCTATAAAGGAAAGATAGAAAAGCAGAAACTAGAATACAAATGTACAAATCACGAGGCATACAACCAACCTTTCAACTTAGCTGAGCTTCAAATATCACTTAACTCTTGCAGTAATTCTGCCCCAGGCTATGACCGTGTCACGTATGAAATCTTGAAAAACCTGCCGCTCAAAACGTGAAAAACTTTACTTTCTCTATACAATACTATCTGGCTTTTTGGCACCATCCCTGCTTCCTGGAAAGAGGCTATTGTTATCCCTTTTGAAACAGGGCAAGGACCCTTCCTCAGTTTCAAGGTATAGGCCCATTGTACTAACCAGCTGCCTTTGTAAACTTTTTGAAAAAATGATAAACCGCCGACTTTTATATTTTCTTGAAACACACAATCTGCTTGACCTATACCAATGTGGGTTTCGAGAGGGTGGATCCACCACCGACCATCTGGTGCATATCGAGGCGCAGATCCGAGACGCTTTCGTCCACAAACAATACTTCCTCTCTCTGTTTCTCGATGTCTAGAAGGCTTACGACACAACATGGCGTTTTGGCATATTAAGAGACTTGTCTCACCTGGGTGTGCGAGGTAGAATGCTTTCCATAATCGAGAGTTACTTGACTAATCGGAAATTCTCTCCCAAACATTTGTGCAACAAACGGGAGTACCGCAAGGTGGTGTACTTAGTTGTACACTTTTTATTATCAAAATGAATTCTTTGCACCTGTCCATCTCCCACAACATGTTTTATTCCACATATGTTGATGACGTCCAGCTTGGCTTTAAGTCATGCAACCTAGCAATGTGTGAGCGGCAGGTTCAGTTAGGTTTAAACAAGGTGTCCAAATGGGCAGAGCAAAACGGATTCCGGCTGAACGCAGAAAAAAGCACCTGTGTCTTGTTCTCCCGAAAGAGAGGCGTGCACTCGAAACCTGACATTGAACTGAACGATCAACGTCTGTCTGTCAATGCGGAGCATAAATTCTTGGGCTTAATCTTGGACAACAAGTTGACCTTCATACCGCACATCAAGTATTTAAAAACAAAATGTTTAAAAGCCATGAATGTTATCAAAGTGCTGTCACGTACTACGTGGGGTAGTGACAGGCAATGTCTCGTGAACCTGTATAGAAGCCTCGTTCGCACCCGCTTAGATTATGGGGTCGTTATTTATCACTCTACGACTCAAAGTGCTTTGAAGATGCTGGACCCCGTGCACCATTTGGGCATCCGCCTTTCTACGGGTGCTTTTCGCACCAGCCCCGTAGAAAGCCTTTACGCTAAGTCAAATGAATGGTCGCTTCATCTACAAAGAACTTGCATGTTCTTTGCATATTTTCTTAAGGTGAAAGCAGACAAGAAACACCCTTCCTACTCCACTACCAATTATTTGTCGAGCTCCATTCTTTTTCAAAACAGGCCTTCAATGAGGCAGCCCTTCTCAGTTCGCCTGAAGGGTCTAGCTGAGGACACTGGAGTGTCACTCGAACACAGTTTAATGGCTCCTGTAGCATACCCGCCACCGTGGCAGTGGCAGACTATAGATTGCGATGTGTCTTTTTTAGAAGTTACTAAACATGCGCCTATTGCCCATATTCGAACATACTTCTTGGAACTTCAACACAAATACACACGTCCTGAGTTCTTTACAGATGCCTCCAAGTCTAACTCCTCTGTGTCTTACGCTGCTGTTGTCCCTTCCTTTTCGGATGCTGGCCCTCTACATCCAGGCACAAGTATCTTCACAGCGGAAGCTTACGCGATACTTGTGGCAGCTAAACACATCAAACAATCACAAATACAAAAAGCAGTAATTTATACAGACTCCCTCAGTGTGGTAACGGCTCTGCACAGTCTTAAGAAACAAAAAAACCCTGTCCTCGTTTCACTTTACTCCATTTTATGCACCCTCTACACATTCAACAGACATGTTGTTGTGTGCTGGGTGCCAGGGCACCGTGAGATTCAAGGCAACGTGATGGCGGATCAGCTTGCTGCATCCGCCCACGAAAGCACCGCCATTACACCGACATCAATCCCGGCCCTTGATCTTAAGCCGTCTCTCAAACGAAAACTCAGGGACTACTGGCAGAGCAAGTGGGATACACACACACAAAACAAACTACACGTTATCAAGCCACACCTTGGCCATTGGCCACCAGTATCAAAATCACGTCACACAGAGGTAACATTAACGAGGCTGAGAATAGGACACACATACACGACACACTCATATCTTTTCTCCGGTGGCGATCCACCAGTGTGTGACAGATGTGGTGAAGCACTAACAGGTCTTCACAATTTAATTCAGTGCACGCAATTGGACACTCTAAGAAAACAACACTTTCCTTCACCCTACCGACAACATATACCTTTACACCCTGCAATGTTCGTTGGTAGGGAACCACTTTTTAGTCATAAATCATTGTTAGCGTTTTTAAAAGAAATTCATGATTTTCATATCATATACCCGTGCATTCCGTAGCACGACCTCTCCAGAGAGGTTTTTGCTGCGGTGGCTACACAGGAAAGCACTTGCCTCACGGCCCTTGGACGCAAGGGTATGAACGAGTGAGGTACTTGTGCTAATGCCATACATGTCAACCATCGTTTTTCATTATCACCAACTTTTGTCACCTATTCACACCACATACACCTTTCACGGCATGGTCATGATTTTATTACTTCTATGTTTTTAGCCGCCTTACTGCGAGGAATTTTATGGCCCTTATACATCCGCTAATCACAATCATTGTCCACATTCCTTGTCCCATGAACTGGCGCTCTTTGGCCATCAAATGGCCCTTGTGCCAAAAACACCATATATCATCATCAAAAACGAGAAATGTGCTAGCCATAAAGAAAGTTGTCGCAGTATTGTCGTTTCTTCACTTCCACAAAATCTATGATGCCAGCAGTAAAAGTGCATACAACTAATGTATTTGGAAGTACTTGGAGCAGTGTTGCCGAGTTGCCACTTCGGAATTAGAATCCTTCTACCTTTTCACGGCCCTGGAATGGAATGGGGACAATGATTGTAGAAATGTAATTAAGCACATTTTGCCCAAAATGGAAATATGTCTTTCCGAAAATAGACCTAGCTCCCTTTCACCTATGTGCTTTTTTTAAAACTTCAAACATTATTAATTGTTATGTGCGTTATAGCGTCCCTAAACCACCATATGATTATGAGAGACACCGTAGTGGAGGGCTCCGGAAATTTCGACCACCTGGGGTTCTTGGACGTGCACTAAAATCTGAGCACACGGGCCTACAACATTTTCGCCTCCATCGGAAATGCAGCCGCGGCAGCCGGGACTCCATCCTGTGACCTGCGGGTTAGCAGCCGAGTACCTTAGCCACTAGACCACCTTGACGGGGCCAAATATTATTACATCAGAGCCTCAAGGTTAACAATAAAGCAGCATATTTAAAATGACTTAGCTGATTACAAGCATGCTAAATCTATAAGCAATGCGTCAACCACAACTCTGTCCTTACATTCACG